TCTGTAATTCTAAAACTGATCCAACCCTAGAAATTACAAAAAGCTTTACATAAACCTAAGACTAGCTAATTACCATATAAGTCCAAATCAAATAGGAAAGTTGCTGAAAATTTAAAGCTGCTGAAAATCAAATAGGAACAAATCAAAACTTTCTATAAATTTCTGGTTCTCCTTGTCTTCCCTCCACTTCTTTCCTTTTCTGGATGTTCCTTATGTTTTAGGAAACTTTCTGCTAGGTCCACAGCTACATCAGTCCCCCCGTGTTGGAAAGAACTCGCCCTCAAGTTGTCAGAATCCTCATCAGAATTATGGCTCTTGTAAGGAACCAAATGCTTGACATTAAAAACATCTGATGTGCGAATATGACTTGGTAACTTAAGCTGGTAGGCATTACCATTAATCTTCTTAATCACCTCGAATGGACCAATATTTCTATCATTCTGGATGTTCCTTATGTTTTAGGAAACTTTCTACTAGGTCCACAGCTACATCAGTCCCCCCGTGTTGTAAAGAACTCGCCCTCGAGTTGTCGGAATCCTCATCAGAATTATGGCTCTTGTAAGGAACCAAATGCTTGACATTAAAAACATCTGATGTGCGAATATGACTTGGTAACTTAAGCTGGTAGGCATTATCATTAATCTTCTTAATCACCTCGAATGGACCAATATTTCTATCCCTCAACTTGTTGTATGAACCGGGTGGAACTCGATTTTTTTATAGGATTGCCCAAACATAATCTCCAACTTCAAAAATCATCCTTCTCTTGTGACAATCTGCATTAGCCTTATATTTCGCATTGGATGCTTCAATCTGTTGTTTCACTTTCACATGAATTTCTTGCATAAGCGCAACCATGTCTTCTGCCTTAACATTGACCTTCTTTGAAATAGGAATTGGAGCCAAATCAAGGACACTATTTGGTTTTGCTCCATAGACAACCTCAAAAGGAGAAAGAGTTGTAGTACGATTCTTTGATAGTTATAGGCAAACTCAGAAAGGGGTAGGGTTAAATCCCAACTCTTGTGATTGTCACCTGTTAAGCATCCCAACAAATTGCCCAAACTCCTATTGACAACTTCTGTCTGCCCATCGGTTTGAGGATGAAAAGAAGTGCTAAAATCAAGCTCCGTTCCAATCTTCTTCCATAAAGTCTGCCAAAAGTGGCCAACAAACTTGGTGTCTCTATCTGAAACAATAGAATGTGGAACATCGTGCAACCTGTAAATCTCTTTAAAGAAAAGATTAACAACATTAGAAGCGTCCATAGTCCTTTTGCAAGGAATAAAGTGCGCCATCTTTGAGAATCTGTCAACCACTACCATAATAGAGTCACACTTCCTTTGAGTGAGAGGCAACCCAAGCACGAAATCCATGCTAATGGCCACAAAAGGACGATTCGGTACGGTAAAGGCATGTACAGGCCTGAATTAGTTGCATCCCCTTTGGCTCTTTGACACACATGACAATTTTCCACATGCCTTGCAACATCCTTTCTCAAGTTAGGCCAATAGTACTCATTTCCAATCAGCTCTAGGCTCTTATCTCTTCCGGGCTCTATTATGATCTTTTCGCGCAAGGAACATTCTGGAATGCATAATTTTAAGCCTTTGAAGATAAATCCCTCTTGCCAGAAATAATCCGATCGCTGCCCAGATTTGGCTTCTTCCAAAATAGGCGCAAAGTAAGGGTCTTCTACGTACAAATCTCGAAAAGAATCAAATCCCACAACGTGTGCATGCGTAACCACAAGCAGAGAAGCTCTTCTACTTGAGGCATCCGCTACACGATTGATTGTACCAGCCTTATGCTTCAAAGTAAAAGTAAATTGCTGCAAATAACACACCCATTTAGCATGCCTTGAACTCAAATTGCGTTGACTGTTGATGTACTTAAGAGCTTCATGATCCGAATGCAAGATGAATTCCTTGTATGCCACCAACGTCGCAAAGCTTGGACAATGGCATAAAACTCTAGGTCATAAGTTGAATACCTGAGCTTTCCACCAGTAAGCTTCTTGCTAAACATGCAAAAGGTCTTCCTCTTTGGCTAAGGACAGCACCAATGCCAATGCCAGAAGCATCAGAATCTACCTCAAATACCTCTTCAAAATTCGGTAGAGCAAGAACTGGTGCTTCCGTTAGTCTCTGCTTGAGTGCTTAAAAACTCTTCTCTGCCTCTTGGGTCCATTGTAAGGATTTTTTTTTCCAATGCAATCAGTAACTGGGGCAGCAATAGTACTGAAATTGCAAATAAAACGCCTATAAAATGTCACCAAACCATGGAAACTCCTCACATCACACATTGTGGCAGGTGTGGGCCACTCAAGAATGGCTTTTATCTTGTCATCATCTACCATAATACCTGCAGAAGAGACCACATAACCCAAAAATACCAATCTGTCCGCTGCAAAACTGCACTTCTTCAGGTTAGCATATAAGTGTTCTCTCCTCAATATATCAAAAACTGAACAAAGGTGTTGTAGGTGCTCATCAATGCTGCAACTGTACACCAAAATATCATCAAAATAAACAACTACGCACCTGCCAAGAAGTGGTTTCAGCACTTGGGTCATCACACGCATGAAAGTGCTGGGGGCATTAGATAATCTGAATGGCATTACTAACCACTCATACAATCCAGCCTTCGTTTTAAAAGCCTTTTTCCATTCATCACCCGGCCTAATCCAGATTTGATGATAGCCACTCTTCAAGTCAATCTTTGAGAAGATTGAAGAACTCACAAGCATCTCCAGCATATCATCAAGACGAGGAATCGGAAACCGGTACTTGACAGTTATTTTGTGGATAGGTTGACGTTGCCATCCCCTGTGATAACTACTATAAACTAATGGGTGATGAATTTGTGAAGATTCACCACGTTGATGGCGCGTGGTGGCGCAGTGACGAAGCTGATCCGACACGTTGAGGTGTGGGATTACCGCTGGTGCGCGTGAAAGTGCATGGAAGAATGGGATTACCGCTTGAGGCACATGGTGACACGGTGACGGAGTTGATCCAACACGTTGAGCATCTCTGAACGAGGCATCTCTTAAACAACGAGGATTTCCTATACGGGGCATCCCTAGGCGGGGCTTCTCTAAATGAGACATCTCGTTGGGTTTCCCAAAGGAAGACTTAGACAAGGAGGCAACTACCTCCCTTATTAAAAGGGTGAGATTACTTTTATCTTATTAAAGGGGTGAAAACCATCTCTCTTATTAAAGGAGGCGAGATAACTACTCTCCCTACTAAAGGTGGAGACTCAAAGAAAGACTAGTACGTGCTAAGAATATGATCTTCAAAATCTACTACATTATATTTGCAGTACCTCAATACCTTTATTTTATCATCTACATACTGTGCATTTACATACATATATGTGCATGGAAATGAGAAAATTTTGTTTGAGAGGAAAAAAGTTCCTAGCATTGCTTGGGATCGAACACACATCAATAAGTAGTATATTCGAAGCCCACAAAGTAATTGATAGAAAACATGGCTAAACTGGGTTGAAAATAAAGCAAGGACGGAAGCGACTCACATTCCCTAAGTTTGACAGGCAAACACTCCCAATGGGGGGCAACTGATACAGAATATTAGCCCGAGTGGAAGTCTAGCCAACACGATAGCCCAAGAAGTTTGAATAGACTACATGTAGATGGGATAACAACCACTTCTATGTGGAGTAACTCTCTTAGTCCTTGGTGGAGGAGTAAAGGGAACCAATTCCCTAGGTGGACACGACTAATGACTATCATTAATTCTTATATAAAGAAAAAGTCGGGCAACTCAAAAGGGATGTAAAAAATTAAATACAGAGTCTTCCTTTGACTTTTAATGGCTAAAGTACTAACTTGACCGTCAGATTGCACCCGGTCGGCAACACGCCAGTCATCACTTTTTCTTATCTTACAGGAATGGCCCACGGCTCCGGCCTGTGCTGATTTTTGCATCAACACTACCTTTTCATGAAAATGCATTAGATTTTCCATAATCGGGGCTTTTTTTTTTTTTTTCAAAAGGGGAGCACATCCTAAGAGATCTACACAAGGCCAAAAAGGGCCTCTAAACATTCAAAGATCCCAAAAAAAATTACAATCTCCTCTAAGGATGTATAATTTCTCCCTACAGCCTAATAAAAAAGAGTGGTAACAATAGAGAACTTAAGCATGGAAATAGGAATCTCCTTTCCTTCAAAGGATCTTCTATTTCTTTCAAGCCAAAGACACCACCAGACACACAATGGCATAACCCTCCAAATATCCCGGACTTAGGCCTCACTATACTACCTCTCCAAGCCTCAATCAACCCTATGGAGGTCCTAGGCATGACCCACTAAACCCTAAACAAACCAATCATCAAATCCCAACAATCCCTAGCCATAGTACAACGCAAAAGAAGGTGATCCACCGTCTCCTCGTCTTTAAGGCACATGTAGCAACAATTGACCACAATCTGATTCCTTGTCTTTAAATTGTCTTGAGTCAAGATCTTCCCCAAAACAGAAGTCCAAGCAAAGAAAGCCACCTTTAAGGGGGCTTTGGAGCGCCAAATAGCCTTCCACGGGAAAGAAACCACTGGCCTCTCCGTGAGACAACTATAAAAGGACCGAACATCAACCCTTATATATAACACATATACATAAACTCTATAAAAATATATATATTCACATCCACATTTATTGTTGTCTACATAACAAGAGCATAAACCCAGTTCTCGATTTTCATATGCTGCATATATATAACATATTTGTATTATATATATATATAATACAAATATGTTATCCCACCCCTTCCTTTAAGATGTTATCCCAAAAAATTTACCAGTGAGGTACAAAGGCATTGGCAGAATTTTAAGATTGAAACTTGATTGCAGGAACATAACCACTGCAAGTGAGAGATGTCAAACAGCTTTCACCATTTCTTGCGGCACACAAAAATCACTTGGTAAAGTAAAATGCTACATAAAAATAAGTTTCAAGAGGAATGGAAAGCTTACTGAAGAGAGTGAAACCATTTTTGAGACAGAAAACTTCTGCATTAAAAGTTTCTTAAAAGAGCTCCATTCCTTTTCTGGAAGTTGAGCAACAGCTGTGCTAATATTCTCCTCGTCTTGCAAAGTCTCAATAGAATCAGCAACATTAGCATCTGACCACCTAAGTGGATCAAGAAAATCATTCTTCTTGGGATCCACAACATCAACCTATAATAAGATATTATCAAACTCTATCAACAGTGTAATAGCTAAAAAAAAAAAAAAACAATTTCCCAAACACTTTTCTTTTTAAAGAAAGACATTTACGTATTGAAGTTTTAATTTGACTATAACCAGCCCTCTTGTGGATGAACCCAGAAAATTATTCCAGTCATTACACCCCTAAAATGGGCATGCAAAGAAAAGAAGAGAGATTCTAAATCACTAATAATTATCTGAAAAAATAAATATAAGAAAAAAGGAAGAGATAAGGGTGTACAATATAGGCCCTAATTTAAGGATAGTCATCACATTTTTTATATCTCAAAATTGCCACAAATTTTCTTATGTTTATACACTACATCCTTTAGACTTTCTATATATTACAGGTGTGTTCACACATCACACAGGAATTGGTGGATTTCAATTAGTTGGTGCTGCTGCACAAGCAGCCATTTTTACAGCAAGAGATTATGATCAAGTTGCTTAATACAACGATCTATTAGATCGTGCCCTTGATGCTTTACTATGCAAAGTTTGCGAAGACTAGGATAGGACTTTTCTTCATAAGAATGCGGAGGGTACCGTGAAGAAAAAAAAAGTGTCATGTGTTAGCATATTCCATGAACAAAAGTCTTTGTTTAATCTATAGTGTTGTGTCACTTGATTGGAAGGTTTCTCATCAACATTGAAGCTGTGATTGTAAACTGAGGGTCGTGCCAAAAGATAGCATCAATATCTTGTTTAAATTTCTATCAATTACATAACTTAGGAAAGGTGAGTGACCTCAAATACGATAGGATTTGGAGGTGATTCATTAATAATTTAGTCTAGAAATTCCCTAATTGATCTTGATAAATTGGTTTTAAATGGTTTATAATCAATTACAAATCTTGAATAGGGCTGTAAATGAACCAAACGCTCGACGAACAACTCGGGCTCGGCTTGCTAAGAGATCGGTTCGTGTTCGTTTGTTTAATAAATGAGTCAAGCTCAAACAAAATTTTCAAGCTCGATTAATAAACGAGCCAATCGAAAACAACCCCCTACTCGGTTCGTTAGTTCATGGACGCATTAGTGAAGAATCTCGATAATCTACTCATTATAACTCAAATATATATACTAATAGATAAATAAATTTGAGCCTTAAAGATAGAGACTAAACAGCCCAATACATTCCTATTGAAATTAATTAAACAACACAATCCTCTTAAAATTACAACAGGCACGATCCATTCATCTTTAAATTAAAGCAGCCCAAGCCCAACTCCCTTATAATATATAAGCCACCAAACCCCACTTTTCAACCCAATCGTCTCTTCCTCTTTCTCATTCTAACCCTAGGAGCAAAAAACCGCAATATGCAACAGAAGATTGCTACTAAGTCTGCGACCAGCAAGCCTCCAGTGACAAATATTTTCCGGCAAACACGCCCACGGCCCTTCTCTAATCAAGTTGCGAGCCCTCAAAGCAACACGTCGGAGACCTCAAAGGTCTGAATCACACATGAAAGTCCGCAATTACATATGCGAGTGTTCTTTCTCATCTCTCTCCGTTTTTGAAATTTCCATCAATGTTTTATGAAGATGTCTGCAACTATGCCAGCGACCATCATGCCTTCGGTTGATGCATGTTATCGAGCTCGTCAAGCCGAGCTCGAACATATTGAGATATAGCTGAGCCGAGTTTGATCATAATTAGGTTAGGCTCGATTGAGATCATGCCAAGCTTGAATAGATCTATTCATGTGCCGGGCCAAGCCCGAACACTCCAATACTCGGCTCAGCTCGATTATAGCCCTAATCTTGAATTAGTTAAGAATTATTTTGGAATTAATGTAGCCTTAATTATTGTTGGAAATTGTGTCTCAAATTCCTATTCTAATTATGTTTATATTTTAGAGTTGTATTCTGCTTGGTAATTTCATGTTTGGCAAGTCTTGGCGTTTAAGAAATTGTAATCCTTGTCCAACAATGAATTGGGTTTGGAACTCTATAAATAGATAAATAGGCTTTGGGTTGAGACTTATGAGATTGAGAGAGATGTAGTATCATGAGGGAGTTGATGGGTAGAGGTAGTATGCGGGTTGGTAGAGTAGGAAAAACACCAATGACACTTGTAGCAAGGAGATAGGCTCGTGGAGTGGTATATGGTGAAAAGACATATATGTGGTGTTGGTACTCTATTGTTGTAATATCTCTACGAATCATAGTGGAATCTCTTCTCATCCATGGACGTAGGCCGGTTTTGGCTGAACCATGTATATCTTGTGTTTGTGTGTGATTGCTTTGTTAGCTTTTGTTGGATCTTTGTGTTTCGCGCACTTCCGCTACCTAACAAATTGGTACTAGAGCCAAAGGTGAAGAAGATTCAGAAAACACAAGAAGTCTCAACATATGCTGCAACGGGCTTCAGTTGTAGGTGGAGCCAATCAGCTTGGTTACATGGCATGGAGCTCAAGTAGTCAAGGTGGAGCCTTGGAGGTTTGACTAATCGAGTAACGTATAATGTGGACAATCGGAGATTTGCACGAGTATCATCAAGATTGAAGCTGCAAAAGAATTGTCCGGATCAATGCCGTGGAAGCGATGATTGGCTGGATGATATTGGAGCCAAGGTGGAGATTGTTGGAAATTGTGTCTCAAATTCCTATTCTAATTATGCTTCTATTTTAGAGTTGTATTCTGCTTGGTAATTTCTTGTTTGGCAAGTCTTGGCCTTTAAGAAATTGTAATCCTTGTCCAACAAAGAATTGGGTTTGGAACTCTATAAATAGTTAAATAGGCTTTGGGTTAAGACTTATGAGATTGTGAGAGATGTAGTCTCATAAGGGAGTTGATGGATAGAGGTAGTATGCGGGTTGGTAGAATAGGAAAAACACCAATGACACTAGTAGCGAGGAGATAGGCTCGTGGAGTGGTACATAGTGAAAAGACATGTACGTGGTGTTGGTACTCTATTGTTGTAATATCTCTACGAATCATAGTGGAATCTCTTCTCGTCCATGGACGTAGGCCGGTTTTGGTTGAACCATGTATATCTTGTGTTTGTGTGTGATTGCTTTATTGGCTTTTGTTGGATTTTTGTGTTTCGCACGCTTCCATTGCCCAACAATTATAAAGTTTGTTAGAGAATAATTATAGTAGTGATTTAAGCCCTTAAATCACTCCTTGATAGAATGTTAACGTTGCTATACTTGGCCAACAAGTTGTTGCCATATTATTATTTTTTTTATAAGTAAAGTAGTATAGAAAGCGTTCAAAAGGGGAGCGCATCCCAATAATACACAGAGGCCAAAGCCAAAGCCAAAAGAGGGTTCCTAAAGACCCAAAGAGGCCAAGAAAGCCATATTTGTATTTGACTTTAAACGCTATACTTGGCCAACAAGTTGTTGCCATATTATTATTTTTTTGATAAGTAAAGTAGTATAGAAAGCGTTCAAAAGGGGAGCGCATCCCAATAATACACACCCAATAATACACAGAGGCCAATGCCAAAGCCAAAAGAGGGTTCCTAAGGACCCAAAGAGGCTAAGAAAGCCATATTTGTATTTGACTTTATGTATAATTCCTTTATTATAATATACTTGTAGAGCAAGAAATTTCTATTCTCTAGTTACAAGTCTTCCCCAATTCACCTATAAATAGAGGTGGTTATTGTAAACAAAATCAAGAAAGATTGTAATAAAGGTTATTTAGCCCTTTGGGCTTTGTGTTTGTATTTGACTTTATGTATAATTCTTTTATTATAATATACTTGTAGAGCAAGAAATATCTATTCCTTAGTTCCTGATTATTTGAGCATACAGGATCGTCAAAAATCAGGGAGGCTGAAAAGGTAAGGAGAATAGAAGAAAAAAATAATAATAATAATAATAAGGAAAAGTCAAAAGGAGATTTGGTGTAGTTGCCAACAATAGAAGATATTATTCTCCATTGCAAGAATTAAGGAGGATTTAGAAAATAAATAAGAAGATTTGGTGTAATTGCCAACAATAGAATATATTATTCTCCATTGCAAGATTTAAGGAGAATTCTGCTCCATCAAATCTCAGATTTTCCCTTTAATATTATTTCACGCATGCTTTCTTTTTTTAATTCTATTTTTGACTTGCCTATATAAAGTGTTGAATAAGAGATATTCGGTTTCAATAACAACGGATTTTAGGGGATATGATAGGCGTGTAAATATAGATAATCAATGACTAAGAATTAGGAAATTCTGTTACTGTACAGCCTGTAGTTTCCTTTTTTAGCTCCTTGTATTTCCTATTTAACTAAAGCACAGTAAACCATTCTTTGTACGGCAATATACAGATTCTTTTCAATACCTTGAAATCGCCTATTTGGTATCAGAGCCTCTTACCGATTCTTCTGAAAAGAAAAAAAAAAAAAAAAACCTAGCTGTCATTTTTTCTTCCAAACAACCCTAATCACCATGTCTGATGACGTACCTAAGTCCAAGACCAAGACCTCTGAGTCCCAAGTCCAAAACTCTGAGACACACTCGATCCAGATTGCCACAATTCGGCTAAACAGTGAAAACTTCCTTCACTGGTCCCAGTCCGTGCAGATGTACATCCGGCAGAGGCAAAATCGGCTACCTGACGGGAGAAAAGAAGGAACCGAAACCTGAAGATCCATCCTACTCGACTTAGGATGCAAAAAATTCAATGATGATAACCTGGTTGGTGAATTCTATGGAGGAGGACATTAGTTCTAATTATAAGTGTTACCACACAGCAAAAGAACTCTAGGAACATGTCAACCAGATGTATTCTGACCTGGGAAATCAGTATCAAGTCTATGAACTAACGCTGAAACTCGGAGAGATCCGTCAAGGAGATGACAACGTTACAAAATATTTCAACTCTCTAAAACGTTTACGGCAGGACCTTGATTTGTTCAGCGATTATGAGTGGAAATCGCCTGAAGATTGCAACCATTACAAAAAGACGGTGGAAGACAACTATCTTCAAGTTTCTCATTGGACTCAATGTCGAGTTTGATGAAGTGAGAGGCAAACCATGGCAATTTGATGTCGATGCCACTCACTGTGGTAGAGACAATATGTATATTCTATACAAGAATAGTCAGAAGATTATTTTGGGTCCGCTTAGGAAATTCAGTTATGTTGATTAACAGTGAGGAATTTCTGGGCAAAGTAACAACTGCCCCTGAAATCTTTGTTGTTATGTGCAAGGGGAAAGTAGTTAAACAACCTCCTTTTACAGTACCAGCAATAGTGCAGCCATTACTGCAGGAGTTTAGTGAGTTGGTGTCGGACGACTTGCCTGATAGTCTCCCTCCCATGAGGGACATTCAGCACCACATTCACTTAGTGCCCGAGGCGAGCCTGCCAAATCTACCACAATACCAGATCAATCCAAACGAGAGTCGGATCTTTTATAAGAGCAAGTGGAAGAGTTACTATAGAAAGGGTTGATTTGGGAGAGCATGAGCCCATGTGTTGTTCTGGCCTTGCTAGTACCGAAGAAAGATGGCAGTTGGAGAATGTACGTTGATAGTCGTGCAATTAACAGAATCACTGTCAAGTACAGATTTCCCATTCCACGGTTGGATGATATGCTGGATATGTTGGCGGGATAGAAAGTCTTCACCAAAGTGGACCTCAAGAGTGGATACCATCACATCAGAATCCGCCCTGGGGATAAGTGGAAAACGGCGATCAAGACAAAAGAATGATTGTATTAGTGGTTAGTCATGCCATTCGGATTATCCAACGCACCAAGTACTTTCATGCGGTTTATGAATCAGGTACTCAAACCATTTATTAGTCGATTTGTAATTGTTTATTTCGACGATATTCTGGTTTATAGTAAAACAAACGCATAACACCTTTTGCACTTAAGAGAGGTATTAACAGCTTTGCAGAAGAACAAACTGTTCATTAATCTGAAGAAGTGTAGCTTTGTAACTCCAAGCCTAGTATTCCTCGCTATGTGATTTGTAGTGATGGCATTCGAGTAGATGAGGAGAAGGTGAGGGCCATTCGAGAGTAGCCTACATCGAAGAATATAGGAGAAGTACGCAATTTCCATGGCTTAGCCACGTTCTACCGAAGGTTCATCAAGAACTTCAATAGTATCGTGCCTCCCATCACAGAATGCATGAAGAAAGGAAAATTCCAATGGGGAGAGGAAGCTGAGATGAGTTTTGCCTTAATCAAGAAAAAACTGTCAACAACCCCAATCTTAGTCCTTCCAAATTTTGAGAAGCTATTCCATGTGGATTGTGATGCCTCAATAGTGGGAATCAGAGCAGTTCTATCACAAGAAGGAAGGCCAGTAGCATTTTACAGTGAGAAGCTGAGTGAAGCACGCAAGAAGTGGACTACTTATGAGTTGGAATTCTATGCAGTGGTGCAACCTTCGCATACGTGGGAGCATTATCTTATCCAGCGAGAGTACGCACTATTTACAAATCACCAGGAACTAAAATCCATTAACAATCAAAATAGTGTTAATCGGATGCACGCGCGATAGGCGGCTTATATCCATCCCCTTCTCGCTAAAAAACAAGTCAAGCTAACAGAACAAAGTTACAGATGCACTAAGTCGAAGAGCAGCTTTCTTAGTGACTATGAGGGCTGAAATCACAGGGTTCGAGTGCCTGAAGGAATTATATGAGGCCGACGAAGATTTTAGCCAAGCCTGGGCAGCATGTAAAACGAGCCAATCCTTTAAAGCGGCAGGAAGGATTTCTCTTTAATGACAATCAGTTGTGTATTCCACGGAGTTCTTTACGGGAGCAAGTGGTTCGTGAATTGCATGGAGGAGGATTAGGAGGACATTTGGGGCGTGATAAGATGCAAGAGCCGGTAGAAGAACAGTATTATTGGAAGTAACTCAAGCATAACATGGAAAACCATGTGCGGCGGTGCTCAGTCTGCCAAACTAATAAAGGCCAATCTCATAATACTGGTCTTTACACACCGTTGCCTATTTCAGACGTTCCATGGGAGGATTTATCCACGGATTTTGTTCTAGGGTTACCAAGGACGCAACGAGAAGTAGACTCTGTTTTTGTGGTGGTCGATCGATTATACAATATGTCCTATTTTATTGCGTTCAAGAAGACGAATGATGCAATCCAAATTGCCAATCTGTTCTTTAAGGAGGTGGTTCGTTTACATGGGGTGCCACAGTCCATTACCTCAAATCGTGACACCAAGTTCTTGTCTCACTTTTGGCAGACTTTATGGAAGAGATTCGATACCTCTCTTAATTTCAGTAGCACCAGTCACCCCCAGACTGATGGCCAAACAGAGGTGGTGAATAGGACCCTTGGAAATCTAATTCATTGTATTTCAGGAGAGAAACCAAAACAGTGGGTCTTACTCTTACCCAAGGAGAATTTGCTTACAATTGCATGGTTAACAGGTCCACTGGCAAATCCCCGTTTGCGGTTGTGTATTGCTGCCCTCCAAAAGTTTCTTTGAATTTGGTATCCTTACCGAAGTTGCCGGGGAAGAGTGTTTGCTGCAGAGAAAATGGCTGAGCATATTAAGACCATTTAGGAAAGTGTTAACAAATAGGTTGAGGAAACTTACGCCAAATACAAGGCCGTAGTTGACAAGAAACGAAGGAAAATAGTATTTGAAGAAGGGGACCTAGTTAAGGTGCATCTGAGAAAAGAGAGGTTTCCAATGAGAACATACAACAACCTGAAGTCCAAGATATATGGTCCGTACCAAATTCTAAAGAAAATCAATGACAGTGCCTATGTGATTGCTGACATACATGAATATTATCCACCATATTCGGGTAACTCGGGGATGAGTTCTTTTTACGCAAGGGAGACTAATGTAGAACAGCTCACTCACTATCGCAAATCAGGAAGGCTGAAAAGATAAGGAGAATGGAAGAAAATAAATAAATAAATAAGGAAAAGTCAAAAGGAGATTTGGTGTAGTTGCCAACAATAGAAGATACTATTCTCCATTGCAAGAATTAAGGAGGATTCAGAAAATAAATAAGAAGATTTGATGTAGTTGCCAACAATAGAAGATATTATTCTCCATTGCAAGATTTAAAGAGGATTCTGCTCCATCAAATCTCAGATTTCCCTTTAATATTATTTCACGCACGCTTTCTTTTTTTATTTTATTTTGACTTGCCTATATAAAGGCAAGAAATGTAAGTCTACAGACATCATCATTATCAATATAATTTCAATTTCTCTCTTGTGAGTGTGTTCTTTGTGAATTCAAGGGATTAACCCTATTATTTATTGTTTCCGCTACGTTAAATTCACCAATAAATAGAGGTAGTTATTGTAAACAAAATCAAGAGAGAATGTAATGAAAGAGATGTAGCCCTTTGGGCTTTGTGTGTCTTGGATGTAAGCCCTAGTGGCTAAACCACATTATATTATTGTGTTTTTTTTTCCCGTTATTGTGTTCTTCTTGTGACTATAAACATAAGAACTATGTAGCGGAATTTAAAAGGCAAGAAAGTAGAATGCCTTTTTTTTTTTAAGTGAAAAGAGTAGAATTACTTAAGAATAAAATGATAAAAGAAAAACATAAAACTGCATTCATAGAACCACTTTGTTTTCATCCTTTTTCAAAGCAAAACCATGTCCACAACTATTTTCATTCAATTTTTATGAAAAACATCCCTTAAATTTGTAATCCCGTCATTTTGAAAGCTCACTCTCCTAAGGCATCATAATATCCAATTATCATTAGGCATTTTCCTCGTTTTTCAATTAGTACCCGAAATTCATCCCTAAGCATTTCAGGCATGAAAATAGGTTAAAATAAGTGCCCAAAATCAATTTTGTAAAGTTCCCCTTTCCCCACTATATTCCAAAATTTCAACCTCCTAAGGTGTTTTTTTTTTTTTATAAGTAACAGGTGTTTAAGTAAGACAAATTTTTGTTAACCCAGACGAATTTTTGTGAACCCCTCTTTCCTATTTCACCTTAATACTTCCATTTGATTTCTAGACATTTTTAGCATAAACGAAATAAAACCCTCCAAAACAGTTTCAAAAAATCCAAACAAAACAGTCCGCATTTCAATTCATATTGGGCATGTGATAACAGAAATCTGTGATGAAAATATGCGGCAATTAAAATTGAAACTCTAAAGCCTCACGAACTAAACTTCAATCTTTAACATCGATACAAGTAATTGGGAAGATTGCAACAGACATAATTAGGACGCAAAAGTACGACGAAGAAGACAAATAATTGAGAACGTTATGGTGAGAATTGAACCTGGTTTTGCGATGAAGAGGGAGGAGTAGAGAGAGGATGAGTGTCGGCTGGTACCCGAAGGAGCGAGTAGACTTCTTCTTCAGTTGTGTAGTTTCGGGGTCTGAACTCCATGTGGAGTGGTATCGCTCTTCTGTCGCACTTGACTTGATTTATGTTCCGGCACTATTGCGCCTTTTACACCGTTTGGCTGGCAAGAAAACCAGAGGAGAAACGACGCGGTGAGAGCTGTCCTGTACGAAATTACAGAGAGGAAGGAAACTATTCTCAAGCGAAATCACCGGGGGTTTTGTGCGCGTCTGGTGGGTGGGGGTTTTGGATCTCTTCCGCGCGCCGGAGATGGTCGTTGGTATCGATAAATAGGTTGGATCGAATCTTGGGTCGGGTCAGTTCGGTTCGATTCTTTTAGGGATTAGGCTTTCAATTTTAAAAATAAGAAATTTTAATACCACCAATAAACTATATATATATATATATATATATATATATTTCCTAGTTGGTAGGGACACACATGTCTCTTCTTAGACTTGAAATCTTGACCTCTCTCTGAAAGTAAGAGACTGATACTCCTAAGCCACTCGTGTCATTGGTAAATATATATATATATATATATATATATATATATATATATATATATATATATATTACTTCCTCCATCTCATATTAGTTGTACATTTTTTATTTTATAACTTTTTAAGAAAACGAGCAATTAATGTATTTTACCTTTTTCAAATTAGTAAGTAGTACTTCAAACTTTAAATATATAACACGAAGTCAAAAGATTTTTGAAAAGTTATAGAGGTAATTAAGGAAAGATGTTATTTGTTTTGTTTGACTTTTCAAAATGGGAACTAATTTGGAACACTTTAAAAATAGAAAATGTCCATATTTGATTTTATAACTTTTTAAGACCATCTCTTATGCTAAAAGTCATTTTCACATACCAAATCTATATTTTGATAAGCGTTACAGTGTCAAAATGTTACATTTTACCAATTCTGCTCCAATGGTGTATTTCATGCAAAATGCTATTTTTTGACACAACCCCTATTCTTTTTCAACTACCATTCCCATCATTTATATTTGCATGAGTAATATTAATATTAGGCATATTCCAAGTCAAGTTATAGACATTAGAAGGAAACTAAAATTAAACCTAATTAAAAAGAAACAAAAATCTAAAATATCTTGTCAAAAAAAGATCCAAAAAAAAATACAAAAGGAAAAAAGAGAGGCCGATGCCCATATAATTAACTATATAATTTATATATATTTAACTATATAATTTATAGGCCCATAATCCAGGAAAAAATATAGTATATATTTAGGGCAAATCAGTTCAGCCTCCCCAATCGCCTCCATCTCTATTCTCGTTCTCATTGAACTTGCCCCTTCTCTCGGCCATATCATTTCAGATTGCTCAAAAAATCAAAACCCATATCTTTCAGTTTCCATCGCCTGCTGTTCTAGTCCGGGTTCGACCTTTGCAAGCTTCAACTGTTGTCTCTCAACTCTCAAGCTTGTCCCGCTTTCTCTCTGCAACTACAAACTTGTATGTATGGGCTTTGTTTTAATTTTTTTTTTCTATAATATTATTTTATGATCGAGGTCTGTAATTCTATTTTTTTCTGTAATCAAGGTCTGTAATTCTTGTTTTGCAAACTAAATCCTATTTGGTGAAATTTTTTATGATCTTTTTAATATATATATATATATATATATATATATATATATATATATAAATCTGAAACCCTCCTCTCTCTCTCTCTGAAATAACTACTGCTATTTCTTGTGCTACAATTGGCGTCAATTTTGACAAAGTTAAAATTTGGCAGACATTATAGCTTTGCATTAGAGAGCTCATTTTCAATCCCACTAGCTATATGACAAAGTTAAATTTTGGCAGACATTATAGCTTTGCATTAGAGAGCTCATTTTCAATCCCACTAGCTATATTATAAAAATAGCGTGCAATATAGCATTGCATTGGAGACGCTCTAAGGGGAAATTCAATTAATGCAGTGTCCCTTTTCAAATTACTGAGTTGTTCTTTAAACTTTAAATATATGAATAATGATACTATGTCCGATCAAATTGGCATACTCCTAGTCCAAATCCTACGTGTAACTGTCACGTAATTACCTAAATCGTTGATATTTTATTTACGTATTTAAGATACCAAAAATAAATATGGAAAGAATTTGAAGAGGTTTTGACCACCCCTTTCTATCTCTCCGATTTCTCCATTCCTTTTTTTAACTGACGGTTCTCTCTTTTCCACTTTACAAAATTAAAGGAAAAATAAAGCATTGAGAAGTAAAATACATATAAACGTATATGTTTGCTTGAAGAGAAAAAAATAAACCCTAATAAGATTGAAGGTATGTATTCATATTTTTTTTTTTCAATATATATTTTGGTTTTTGTATATTGTATCAGTTTTAGGGATTTGATTAGAAAAAAAAAAAGTTCAAAAGTTCATTATGAATAGTGAAATCAAAAGTTCAAAACCTTTTCAGCTTCTTTCCATATTTATTTTTGGTATCTTTAGTACCCAAATAAAATATCTACAATTTAGGTCATTACGTGGCAGTTACATGTAGGATTTGGACTAAAAGTAGGCCAACTTGATCGGACGAAGTATCATTACTCTAAATATATATAACACAAAGTTGAAAATTTCTTGAAAAGTTAAAAGGATAATTATAGAAAGATATTATTTATTTTGTTTAACTTTTCAAATTGAATAACTAATTTAAGATACTCTAAAAGGGAAACATAGACTACTAATATGGGATAGAGGGAATAATAATCTAGAATCTTGTGACCTAGTGGTATTTCTTCTACCTCTCAAATTGAATGGTGAGAATTCGAGTCACAAAGATAAAATTATACGTTATAATATTGAGCTCTACTTTTAATTTTGCATTCTTATACTTGTGTGCTCTTATCAACCTCTACAAATCATTTGTTCTTTTGTTAAACACTCATCTCTTCGACTTGAATCCTGGGTTAAGGGTGATGATCTTTTAGGCTCATTTTGATTAATAATTAACCCAGTCAATCTCTTTTGACCCAAATCAATTAGTCAATAATTAATTATAACTCCATACTCAATATTGATTTTCACGAAGTCAATTTACGAAACTTGATTTTATATATATATATTCAAATTTGAAAGGGTAACTTAATAATTTTTAAAGGGGACAATGCAATAACATATCCCCTTAAAAAGTTTTACTCTCTAAAAGAGACATCTAATATGGGACAGGATAGTAATAATTACTCAAAGTAACGATCATCAGACCCTACGAGCCCCACTAAATAAATCAAAGAAATTATGAATCAATATAATAGTTTATACCTCTCTCATGCTTGAAAGTCATTAGCCATGCTATGATAAGGAGTAAATTTTTACGACGACTCTCACAATTTGGTTACGTTATCCTAGATCTAGTTCATCTCTTAATTAATAAAGAGTACATACTTTATTATCGACCATGAACCATTTATAATAACACAAATTCTGCTATTTATATATCTTAAATGTGAACACCCATTATATATATATATATATATATATATATATATATATATATATATATATATTCGATTCATTTTTAGTATAACATCTCGATTCAAATATTTCAAATATTGAATCGACCAATACACATATTTCACTAATTATTTATAAAAGCATCTTGTTATACTAAAAATGAATCGAAATTGGGGCTATTTGTTTGGATTTTCACACATTTTACACATTCAAAAATGTAAAGGCATACAAAACCAACAAAGAACTAGGAGTCATGTTGCGAACTTGACTTCAGGTGTACCCCAAGGATTTGGGTATGTTCCGAACGCAGTGGAGAAGTCTATTTTCCGATTCAAGAGTCAGATTTTCTAATTTTCATAAGTTTGTCAAATTAGTGTTATTTAGTGAATATATTAGAAAATGAAGATTACAATCTTTGGTAGATCTGTGTAAGAATGTCCCTACAAACGGGTAGTGGCAAAATGGGGTGTCTACCCTTATAAAATATAACTAGCCGCAACTAGCACTATTGCTAGCCAAATTTTAGCCAGCCTCATCTCTTAATGAAGCTAGCATATCTTTTTACACTTTTGAGTTTTATGTGATTTTCTAATTTTCATAAGTTTGTCAAATCTGTATTGACCTTATTGCTAAACCTTAACTTCAACACCCTTGATTTAACTATGGAAATTTGCTCATATGATAATAATGCAACTCATAACAAGATAGAGTGATATTAAGTTCAAATCAACAAGCTAAACAAGTAAAAAGACTAAAACACATGTCCGAGATATCAAAATCGTAAATAACTAAAAGATGGTCACAAACATACTTTCTGCAGATGTAAAATGATAAGTTACACTTGCCTCAACCTTGTCTCAGCACCATCGCAAGCTCAAACCAAACTCAGACCTCTAAACCAGCTTATGTATTAGCAAAAATCACAATAGGCCTCCATTTGATCTTCTACTCTTGTGAATTCTCTAAGTGTATTTCTAAGCTCAAATCAAGCTTTGATCATTATAAACAATCTCAGAAATGTGTGTTCATATTCAGCTCACTTTTCTCACTCAATGCAGCTTGCCTTAGGGTTTTTCTTGAAGGCTTAAACCTTCGAAAATGCTATATAGTACCCCTTGAATACAAATCCAATCTCAAAGAGTAAATATATGTGTCACCATTATCCAATCATTGGTCACGAAATAATATGTAATTCCCTTTATGAATGTATCATAATACCCCTGCCACCTTTACATAAATTGTCTTCTAGCATGCAAGCTAATTGACAACTTGTGTATGTATATGTATAAATATATGACAAGCTTAATCACTAAGCAATGAATAATAGCCTGCATATTCTCACACTAGGACCACAGGACAAGTGTCACAAGAATGTTCAGCAATTCGCTTTGACCAAAATGCCCTTGTACAAACACTTGTCATTATACACTATCTTCTACAACTGTAACTGTGAACACTTGATCAACCTGAAAATATAAACAATTCAATACAATGTACTATCATACACAAGTGTATTATGATACAATACATGTGTGAAAAGACCTGATTGCCCCTAAAATACTCTGTAGCCAAATATCAACTTCTATGTTAGGGCTTGTAACCCTAAATGGCTTGCAGAGTGAGACTTCAAGACGGCGTACCTTCCTTAGATCATTTGAATAGTCTTCTTAACAATGTGGAATGACCAAGTTACCCCTAAAGCTTAATAATATGCATTATTCATGCTAAAATCACTTAGAACTCAATCTAGTGAACAT